TAATAATAATAATAATAATAATAATAATAATAATAATAATAATAATAGCAATAGCAATAGCAATAGCAATAGCAATAGCAATAATACACTACCTTGGTGTGGTTGTGGGGCTTGTATGGTCTGAGGAAGATGAGAGCTAAGCCAGAGGTTCAATTATACTGGACAGGTCTCATCAAAGGAATCAGACAAAGAGCGTATCTCCCATAAAATATATGATGAGACGTGAAATTTCAGAAAGCTATACTGACCTCAGCTATTAATTTAGCAAACAGCAAAGGAGTATCAGGTCATCTGTGGGGCAGTCCCAGTTGTCTGTGAGATTATGCTTCAATTGTGGATGCTTGAAAGAGCTAGCTTATAGGAAAATTGATGTGGTGGACTTTAAGAGCATAGAGATGTGAGGGTGGGAGGTCCAAATGATTGAGGCTTCTTTGTACCTCCAGGCTTTTGAAAGGTACCAATTAGCAAATGACAAAATGATGGCAATGAAATAATAAGAGATGACAAAAAATAAGTACAGCTTGCATTCAAAACTGCACCAGAGAAAAATATATTCTGAATATAACAATAATTTGAACCAAGTCATGATTATGATCAAAGGGGAAAGTTGATGATAAGTATTATGAGCTGCCTGTGAATTTTTACCAGGCTTGTAAGGAGTGTAATTGTAAGTTAACAAAAAATAGGACTGGAATATTCTTCTGAAAATAACCCTTAGCATAGTGGCTAATCATTATCTTGATAGGCTGTCCTTCCAGGTGGTAATATATATTTATATAGATGCACAGAAATCTCTATAAGACTCTCATGCATGACTGCATTTTTTGAAATAAACACTGCCAGGAAATGAGACTAGAATTCTAAACTCATGAAGATGGCAGGGTTTTTACAGTTTTTAGCAAATGTAATTCTTGTGGTCAGAGATCTATTTGCAGTCAAAACGCAGTAACTTCCATTCAATCTGCAACAGTCAGGCAATTTAATAATTGCCTATAATTATTAATAATAATTCAAGGAAACTATAAGATAATCCTCCCTGTTACTAGCAAGCAAGGAGTTTGCTCCAGACACAAAGTGGTCCATCTGCTCACTCAAGAGTGGGAAGAAGTTTTAAGCCAGTTTCTCAACTGTAGCCACTTTCAGATGTGTGGGCTTCAACTCCAAGAATTCCTAACCAGGTGAAGTTGAGAAACACTCATTTAAGCCCTTCAGAAAATGAAATCACCATTGATAATCAATTATGGGGATGAGGAAGATCTGGCTTAGCAGTAGTAATCATGAAAGGGATCTGGATATCATTCATCTCTTGAATCGTGAAATGGGCAGTGTATGAATTTAATATATAAATAAGCCAGATTAATTATTTTATTGTGCACATTGTAAAAAAATTAATTAGGATGTTGGAAGACTTCAACGTATGGAGTAAAAAGGATATTTTAAACATTTGCCTGGTAAAAATATGGATGGCTCAAGTTCAAAATGTCCATTATACTGTTCTTTAAATGAGGTACATCTACAGTAATTTTTATATGGTGAGCTTAATTTATATCAGGCATGTTCAACCTGTGGCCCGTGGGCACATGCCACCCTGGGCAGCTAGCAATGCAGCCCCACAAGATGATGATGATGATGATGATGATGATGATGATGATGATGATGATGATAGTAATGGAAGTTTGTTATTTATATACATTAACTATATTAGATTTTTTAAATGTGGCCCAAGACAATGACTCTTCATTTAATGCAGCCCAGACAAGCTTCATTTAATGCAGCCCAAATCAACCATGATTTATATGAAGGATTTCATACTTGGCAGAACAAATTAATACAGTATTTTGTATAAATTTGTCTTTTGTATAAAAAGATAACAATTTTTTGAAAAAGGATTGTCATTTTCAAAATTAAAAAGTTAGCTTATCATTTGTTTATCTTAGAGATGTCATCCTCCAATAATGATATGCATTTGAATTTTGATCTGTAAACATCTTCCAAATTTGGTTAAGTACAGGAAAGTGTGAAACTTGAGTTAAACAGTTAATGGATGTTAGCAATTTAAATAGATAATTAATTGTTCTATTGGTTATTCACAATTCTGGCACTGTAATAATATAGTTTTGTCTTTATTGAGATTATTTGTCCAATTTTAAAGAAAATGAATAACTTGTAAGAAACACAGCAGAAGGAAAGTCCTGCCTTATAAAACCATTTTCTATTGTTGACTACCTTAAAACATTTGAATACCTTAAAGTGATATTTCATGTGCACATTTTTTGGAAGGTACTGCTTAAGCAAATACAGTTTCTGGGGCATTTAAATCATTTGGATTTCTGGGTTTTGCTGTCAGTTCTGTCAAAAAGGTTTAATCTGATTAAATAGTATCTCTGCTTCAAGGAAAACACATGGAGTTAAATGACACCAATCCCTGAAGCTAACACTGTATCATAGTTCCTTGAGGCACATAACAATTAAATGGTTAAAAAGAATTTGAATTTTAACCTCTATAGGGAAAAAAAACCTAACTATATAAATGTGTATATAAAAGAAACAGAGAATGTGTGATTATTAAATCAAAGCATTCAATCTGAATTTAGTTGCGGTTTCTAAAATCTTTAATTGCATTTGTCATCAACAAACATATTAATAGAGCTTTAAAGAATGAAGACAACCTCAACTAATGATTTCATCCATGTAGCCTGCTTGCCAACCATTTTGTAGTCGTTTGTCATTGCTCAATTTCTGGATTTTTAATTTTTTTTACTTCCCAGTCTGGGACTTTTTTGGAAGTATCTCATTCAAATGCTAACCTGTTTTGAATCTGGGTGATTTTTTCCCAAGATGGGGTAGTGGCAGTAATAGTTGGCCACCAAAACCTTAATAAGGCAAAGACAAAAATAGACTGCCAATCCAGAGAGAGATGCACACTGCTTGGAAGTGTGTTGGAACCATTCTTCCAGACCAAGTATTCATGGTAAACAATAAACAAGAGTCATATTGCTGTCTGAACAGTTGAATGGCCCAGGAGATTAATAAGAAAAGAGTTTTCAGGATAGAAAGCAGAGGTGGTATTCAGCAAGGTCCGACCAGTTCTGGAGAACTGGTAGCGGAAATTTTGAGTAGTTCAGAGAACCGGCAAATACCACCTCTGACTGGAGATTTTATAGTATCCTTCCCCTGCCATGCCCACCAAGCCACACCCACAGAATCGGTAGGAAAAAAAATTGAATCCCACCACTGATAGAAAGCCTATCTTAGGTGAAGTCTTTTTATAAATTGAATGTCTCAGCATATC